AAAGGGCCCTCTTTTATAAGCCTCATGTTGATAATCCATGAGAAGAATCATAAAGCATTTTAAAAGGATAAAAATGCTAAGCTATTCTATAAGTCCTATATAAATGGGCAAGAATAAAATATACAGAAGTACCAATAAAAACTTCTTAATGTAAAACACTAAGTACAAACTTAGTCAGCAAAATATTTGTTTTTTACAAATGCCCCATTATGATAACTGGGGACTTCGTCAAAAGATCCCTTAAAGTTGTCAAGGGATAACACCACCAATTAATAAAAACAAAAGCAACAGTAAAGTTTGAAATACATTTAACTAGTCACTGAAGGGGTTGGAACATCAGAAGTTGCAATTTCATTTTCAGGAGCAATTTTAATTGGGCTTGGAATGTTGAAATCACCGAGGGAAGCAAGAGTCACAGGAGCTTCAGCTTCCATGGACTGTGTCATAGAAGTTTCACCCTCGGGAGCCTGAATTGCAACCCCAATTGTTGCAGTAGCCACTTCTTCATTTAAAAGCTCTTCCGTTCCAGGAGCTTCAAGTGCAGGAGAAGGAGTATCAACAGGTTGTTGACTTTTCTCGATAGTGTCTAAGACTTTGGCTAATTCAGATTGAAAATCGAAGCTTTCCTGAGCAGCTTCCATCAAAGCATCACGGCGATATTTCAGGAAAATCCAACTTACCTCTATGTTGAAGTTCTCCTCCAGAAGTCCATACTCCATTTCCCACATAACAAGATCATTCTTCAATATTTGATGTTCAGCTAAATGGGAATCAAGGGAAGCTTCAAGGGAGGCATGAGAACTCTTCAAAGCTCGAATCTCGTCAGAGGAGGTCTGTAAGTCAAGCTTTGCACTAATTCTCCTGCATACTCTTCTTTCTTGGCTAAAAGTGCCTTAAGCTCCCTGACTTCTTCACTAGCCTTTGATAATTGTTCTGACAATGAGCACTCCAAAAGCTCTTTATCTCTTTTAAATTGGCTTGAAAAAGCCTTGGCAGTTGCTAGTTCAGAGTCAAACCATGCTTTTGCTGCTCCAGGAGATTTCTACTTTCTTGCAACTCCTCTATGGTCCCCTGAGCATTCTCAAACTGTTCTTTCCAATTAGCTGCTTCAAGCTGGGCTCCCCTGGCTATTTTCTCGGCCTCATGGATAGATTTTTAGACTCACGGGTTTTTCTTTCCAGAAGGGAAATTCTTCCCATCAATTCTGTACCAATGAGGTTAGCCTACAGAGATAACACATAGAAATGAGTATTTGTAGATTAAAAACAAAAAACTTGTTAGTAAAGGAAAAATACCTTCAAAGTAGAATGAACTATGTCATTCATCAAAGTCAGGCAGCTGTGGCTCTCCATCTTCTTCTTATCAATATCACCGATTAGAGGCTCGAGCCAAACATCAGCTCCACCAGTCTTTCTCAAAAGGCTATGGTTGGCAGAAACTTCAAGAGTAACACTTCTCATAGCCATGGTTCTACTGCTAGAACCCGCCTCTGTATGCTGAACGAAGGGAGGAGAAGCCATGGAAGGAGGAGTAGTAGAAAATTTAAACACAGCAACAGGAGTCATAGGAGTCAAATAAGGGATGGAAGGAGAAGATGAAGAAACCAACACAGGAACGGAAGCAGGTGCAGTTGAAACTGGCAAAGGAATGGAGGAAATAGGAACGAAT